GTCTGTGTGTGTGGTGTGATAGAGAGACGCTTAGTGCTTCTCAATTAAGTAAAACATACCATACCATTTTTAACGTTATATGTAACCACACACGTACCTTTAAACAGATTCGGTGCAATGTTGACTACTACTACTTGCACCACCATCCCTGAGATACCCTTCGTTATACTGTATATGTAGGCTATTCATCAGCTTCGACGGAAACTTATAGGCCTTACTTAGGAGGACTCGTATTTGTTGTTTTCCACAGAGTTGCACATCCTTAAATTTTTTAAAGCTGTTTACGCTTAATGACACAACCATACTATAGGTTCTTACAACATGTATCACAAAAATATGCCTGAAACCGGCTCAGATTTATCATTTGAAAAACTTCTGTCCAATGCCATACTTGCAAGTGGAGTGTGTTGTTTACTATTTACATTGGACAAACGGCATAGAAGGTATTTTGTGATTGGCTGAGGGCATTGCAGCTAAGCCAAACTTCATTGTTAGTCGTCTTCTGATTGGCTATAGTTACGTAGCAACTTTTGATATAAATTCTCATTTTTGGTTACAGTTTCCCCAAATTCACGATTGCCGACAATCGAATTATGTTACAATTTAATAGTATTGACATTTTTGTGCAAAAGCCAGGTAGCCCGGATTGGTGGGTCACAGAATTGAACGTTTTCGATCCTCAACCCACGGTCTAATACGCGATGAGATCGCCCAATTATTAAGTCGGCGCGGTATAGTTTAAATTAAGCAACTTGTTTAATACATCAGTGCTTCTATACTTTTTCCATCTAGCCAGACTGCCTCAATCAATTGGTATATACGACTTCGTATCAGTACTCTGATTAATAATGTAGTTTCAGGCAACGTTTTTCTTGTCATTTTATGTGTTTTGTAAGACGTCTCACCCGTCTTCGACCTTCGCGTTACAAAGTGTTATTTAAAAAATCATCTATAGTATTTGACGACGCGGGCAGATCGTGTATCAATGATTTCTGTCTTTCTTCCACCATCCAACTACGGTATTTTGCCTTACATTGCTTAATATTGACTTACTCTTCTACATGAGACATTAATATCATAAAGAACAAATAAAAGCAGATCTACATTATTAAAATGGTATATAATTTCTTTATTAATCAATCAATCAATCAATCGATGCATTAGGCCTTGACATCGATTAACTTCCAAACATTAATAAGTGCATGATTTCTATCAATTCATATTAAGCGAAACTACGATAAATTCCAAAAGGATACAAACTAAAATCAAATTAATTACTACGAAAGGCCTACATGTACAAAAAGCACAAGAAAATCATGTGAATCATTTTGGCATAACAACTGTGTCTGCAGAAAGTAAACACATTTAGAAAAAGTAAATTCATTCTCACGAAGGAATTTTTCTTTGACATCGTCGTGTTTAGCAGAATTTTTTTCAGATTTTAAAATGTTTAGGTCTAATATTCAAATATGAGTTAGATAAAATATGTTTATAACATTTAATTTATGCAAATTGCTATTTGATCGGGCATACTCCATTCTACTTCAATATTTTCTTTCTTTTCTTGTTCAGCAGAAATTTATCATATGCTTTTAGAAATATTTAATGTCAAATATTAGGCTAGTTTTATAAAATAATATGTTTATAAAATTGTATTTTTATATATGCAAATGGATATTATCACTAAAGCCTAATACGGTACTTCATTCGATTCTTTAATTTTTGTTATAGATTCGTCGTTGACTTCCTTAAATAGCGTACTTTTAATTATAATTTCTGATTCTTAGTAGAATGGGTTTTGATTCATGATATACGCCACTCGAAATGAACTTGATGCATCGGGTTCATTAATATAGACTTGTGAGCATTTCAATTAATCGGCGCTTCATTATTATTCTTTAACCTATCCGATTTCTAGGAACAATGACTAAGTCGTTCCCTTGGACTGTTCTAAGTTCCCTCAAAACGACATTTCAGGTGGCAAACGTACGTACACACGTAAAGCGTGGTTTCCATAAACATCGCTACACGTTGTCACCAACTCCTTCTTCGAGGCTGATTGGTCACTTGAATCAAGGAGCGTTTCCAACTACATCGGGGACAGCTAGCTACGCGCAGTGCAAGGACTGCAGTGAAACACCCATAGCAACTTTGTAGCGACACTAGCTTTAGTTTGTTTCTTTCCTCCATTGAGACAAGCGCGTATTCCTTGCTCTGTTCTGATTGGTCAGTTGTTAAGTTTGATTGACACTGGCCCCATTTCGAGACAATCGTACATCCAAACAACCGTTTAGTAATCATTTGTTAAAACGTTCTTCCTGTTTTATGTTAATGCATTATTTTTTTTTTATATCCATTAGGCCTACTTACAGGCATAATAATCATAATTTTAATCCGACATAGTTTACTTCAACATTTATCTTCCTTCGATACCATCTGAACTGTCTTCGTTATTACTAATTCCCACACTAAACATTTAAATGACGAATGTAACATTTGTATATTATGCATATGTCAGTATGTATGGCATTGGCCCATAGTACTTTACTGTTACTGCTGCTTTTCGCGTACTTCTTATTCACTTTACTCTTCTTTTAATTCTCTATGCCCGCAGTACATCTACATCTTCACTTCAGCAAACAATATTAATAGTATCTGTCTTCCGGTGATTACAGACCTATATAGGCTGATTACATGTATATATAGGCTATATAATATACCAGGCAACTGCAGTAGTTCAATTGATCTCCTGAAACCTGTAACAGTAGAGACGGCATTATATGACATAATGAATACACCGTATAATAATTACACCAACAAATGTTACTGAAATCAAACCGAATCACTATTGTAGTCTAGCTTCAAACAAAATTGCTATTCATATTTATTCAAGTAATTAACGAGTTAGTAATCAAAACATACATATTTCTATCAGTTTTCATAATTCAAACTTATTTTAATTTGAGTAGAGTTTACCTGTCCACTACTACTGTTTAATTGTGTTATGTTGTTACAATGTCTTAATAAATAACATACAGGCCTATTATTACAAAATAGGCCTTACCATGTATGTTTTATTTCAGAAGTTTTAAAGGAAAATATTATATCTAAAAGAATTCACTTATTCTATAATATTCTATTGGAGGGTGTAGTTGTGCCGTTCATTGATGAGCACGTGTTTTACCCGGAGGAACCATAATGCAAATATCGTATCGGGCATTGCCTATCAACGAAAAGTTCATATCAGTTGTTCAAGCATATGCCCTACACTATATATATGTATATATATATATATATACGTATATTTATAATTATATAATGTGTTTTATTTTGTGTTTTTTTTTGTTCTAAGATATCATGTATATTAATGCAACCTCTTTTAGTTGACTAGTTTAGGATATCATCAACTTATTGGATTATTTGTTTAATGTATTAAGGATATCAATACAAACCAGATGAAACTATTCGATCATCAATTTAGGATAATTATGAATGTAACAATTATTATAGATATTAATCTCTAGTTGTATTTTATTTTTCGTTTGCTATTGGATGTGTTTGGAAAGTTTTTAAAAACAATACACTTCAAGAAGTTGTGACTTTTCTTTTCTCTGATAATTTTATTACCAAGAATAATCAATGAGTTTTTGTCTAATTCACATTATTTCCGTCAAAATATAATGGACAATACTTTTAGCACATAACAAACAATTTACAGATGTTCAAAACAAAGAAAATAACACATTCTTAATAAGTACAACTTCAACAAAATATATATTCAAACAAACTACACAATAGTAGTTACTAAATCATTACTTGGTTGTAATCAAGGTAATCGGTGTGAAATTTCTCTCAGACTCGCCTGTATACTTAAAATCATACACGTGTACATTTTTAGTTATATCTTTAATTTATTCTCATAACAAATCTGCTTCGCTATAGCCACAGCGATTCACGTTAACATTTATATCTATTCAGTTCTTAGCATCCATTGCAAAGGTTTACTAAATCGCCAATGAAGAAAATTAAGTATCATTGCTGACATTTCAGACGTAAAGTAGATCCTAGTTGTGTGCAGGAATGAACTCAATCGAATACGAAGAAACTGCGCAGAGATAAAATAAATTCTTTGAATGACGCAGTTTAAATAGGCCTACATTTCGACTACGCTTATTCGGGCATTACTCCTATAGACTTAATTGTCGTGTGGTTATTGTGATAATAGCACACAGTATAATGAATTACTTATTTAGTTAAAATCCGAATAAAATCCCACAATCTTGTTATGTATTTATGGGCAAAGTACTTCAAACGTTTCGATAGACACTCTAACAAGTATAAATACAAACGTGCCTCGTTTTCATTATAGAAATAATTGTACTAAAAGTTCTACAACGAAGTTCGGCGTTATCTTCCGTAACCTGCAATGAATTTAACGCTTTCTTGGAGACAGCAGTTAAGATGATAATAATAGAATAAAGAAAATGACAGGTTCTGTTATAGTATAGATGAATATCAAATGAATCTATGTACACAAGAATATAATTAATTTACGAAAAGTCAGTGAACGAATAAGAGGACTTTTCACTGCTGCCCGATAAAAACCTAACCATACAATAAGATATTTTATGCCAATATAAAAATAGAAAATCAACTCACTGTAATACTCTCTTATCAATAAGTATCAGTAAACAATTTGAACGACTGTTTGTTTTAGGATGAAATATATATATAAATATATTAACCGTATAGAAAATTCGTGTTTTTAACCTTTTTTTCTTTTGTTTTTTCCCTATATATTACTCAATTATGTTGGTTTTTATCATGAAAAAATACATTAAGTAGAAAATATGTGTACTGCGCCCCGTGTTCTACCAATTTGATTTTTCGTGTAGTTTATATTTAACACGTTATTCCTATTATATATTATAATTATTCAATAAGCCAATTACAAATATAAGCCTATGTTTTATATAAGGAAATACTGATCGTACCAGTACCTTTTTATAAGACAATGGTTTTTCTTGTAATCTTTTGATGTTCATTGTTTGTAAACAAAATTAATAATATGGAAACGAATTATACTGCAGGCGAGCTGTGGAATACTTCCTGTGTTTCACAAGTTGCCGTGCACGCCAAGACAAACTAATAATAACCGTTGCTAATGTACCGGTAGCCTATCTGCCAGTAAACGTACGTCAGTGAATCGTAACTATTGTTGGTTAATTTCTTCAATTTACTTTCAATAACATTTTGCATTGTACTGTTCAAATGGCAATCAAGTATCTAAGTACTTTAGATTCTTTGATTCGTTAGTCATCTATTCATTTTCTCAATCCATTTTGTGACAATTAATATTAATTTTTCAGATTGAAATCGAACGGATGAACCTCTAAATCAGTTACTTTTGTCCAGTGGGCGGTAGATATAAACAAAACCATTTTCAGTTTATGTATTAAGTATTAAAATAATACCGAAGCATTTTATATCGACCGAATTCAAAGTCGTTTTCTCTTTTTTTATACACGTTTATTCTTTAATATAATATAAAGAACTTAATTCACATCGAAGACATTTATTATATATTTACATTTTCATAATTATACACATATTTATCTATTTATTTACAATTACAAAGAGCACCAGAACATAATAAGTAGTCTTTGTATACAATTGCCACGTTGACGCCTACCTTAACTGCCTTTCAAATGCGAACAGCCAAGTCTGTAGACCCAGTTTCGTCTTCATAAAATATATAAACGTTAAAGTGTCTATGAGACTATAGATGAAATTGTAGGCCGTGGTGCCGATAGTCCTTGGTACGATGTTTGGTAAGAGAAAGGGTACGGGAGAACCGATGGACTGGACATAATACCAGAGTTCTCACTCATGCTACGCGAATGTTCGTGGTATAGGATGGGGACGCGAACCATCCTCTGGGCATTGTGAGCCATGCTGGCCGCCTCCATCTCTGCCGCTAATTGCCTTTTCCATTTATTTCTTCGGTTCTGGAACCAGATCTTCACCTGTGTTTCTGTTAGCTGTAATGAAGCCGCTAGGCCAGCCCGTTCGGAACTCGACAGATAGCGTTTCATATCAAACGTTGACTCCAGCTGGAATACCTGGCTACGACTGAAAACGGTCCTTGTCTTTTTCTTACGCTTTGGGTTCTTATCAGATTTTTTCGATTCTTCGCTATCTGATTCTCCAGATTTACACTCTATTTCGGGCGTTTTAGGCTGTTTATCGTCGTTTGTGATGTTTAAGGATTCACTCGACTTGATCGGACTTGCTGCTGACGAAGGTATATTGCGGGCATGGAGGTGTGTTTGACCAAGCACTGGACCTAAGAAAAGAAACAAAGAATACATTTATTTTAGTTTAAAAATTGTTTTGTATATTTTTGTTTGTATGTGTTTTATCATTCTTTCTGATGTACGTTGAAATGCTATATTGATATATTTTGCATACTATAGTTAAAAATATAAAAAAAAGTAAATATAAAGACATACCGTATATAAATTATAAATAGAATTAAAATATTTACAAGACAATATGGCTATAATACCTCGCTTTTTATATCTAGCAACTACGGTATTTTCTTTTAAATTTTTTTTGTCAAAAATATTATTAATAATGAAACGTAATGGTAACATAATTATATGAATGATGAAACATAATCATATCCATATATGTAGGTCTATGGTATGACGTGTAGGCCTATATAATAAATAGTTTTTGGAGTAAAATCTATTGTCTATTGAATGCAATACTGCCTGACCTAGCCGACTTACAGATTGGTTATTGCAATTACAAACAAAATATGCGATATGAATCACGACTTAAAAAAGCAATATATTAATTGGTTGTCTCAATTAATGAAATACCAAGGTATATTGGTGCTAATAGATTTCCCTGATTAGCAGCACCGTTTACCACAAAATCATACATTACTTAGTACACAATACACTGTACTTGTTAATTTTGAATATCTCGTATTGCTTCTTCAGTACGCCGTAACTCGATATCCACAACATAAATTACTTTAGAAAATATAACAGGCTCAGAATGTAGGGCCTATACAAACCAAAATATATTATGTTTAAATCATGGGTATTTTATTTAGTTGTACAATACTGTATCTATTTATCTGATTATAATTATATTATTAATATTATTATTAATGCTAAATCATTATTATTACTACCTTTTCCTTCTACAATGGTTGAATAATAGGCCTAATACATTTTAACCATTTTTAGTTTATTTTTTATAGAACTCCGTTTATTGTTAATGTTATGCTCACTCACTCAACTATATCGTATTACATTATATTCTATTATACAATAAAAATATACTACTACCACTAAATATTAATAACAACTACCGGTCTTCCTATTTAGGTATTGCGACTGGACAAAAAAAATAATACTAACAAGACAAATATTATTATTATTAATGTTAATAATAATAATAATAATAATAATAATAATAATGAGTAAGAACTTTCGTGTCTACAATCAATCGGAATTCCTAAAATTAAATAAAAAAAGAGTTCATAATGTGAATTACATAATAATGTAGTAACTACAATAATAATGTATAATTTATATAATTTGTTTTTCTTAAAAGCATAACTAACGTTCAGATAATCAAATATATACTTACATACAAATTGAATTTATTTCATTTTTTAATGAGAAACTAAATGTATTGCAGGTATAATCTAATGAAGAACTTAGCCCAAATATATAAAATACCTCTTTTTATCTAAACTTATTGAAAGAATTATGGTTTGTAGATTAACTGAACATTTCTCTTGTAATAGCCTTCTTCCTGTCTCTTATACACATCTAGATGTGTATAAGAGACAGCTTCTACTGTGTGTCTAGGCCTTTCTTTCAAATCAAACTATTCGCATTCATGATATTTTATAAAATCATAGTTTGGTCTACGTTTTTAAACATAAAATGAATTATATTGTTTTAAAATGTCATTTTATTCGTTATTATTTTTGTTTTTACTTACGTTCGTAGTTGTAAGGAAAATATGGATTTGCTCCGTGCATCCAGGCGTACCATGTAAGAGGCGGAACTCCTAATGGGGGCCTAAAATGATGTAAACTCATCTCTGAAGACACCGACATACCGGCCGGCCAACTGCTTCTGTTGTCCTTTTCAGCCGGTTTAATAGGGCTAGATGGCGAGCTTGGAAGACTGGGTTGGGGTGAATCTCTCCCGTTGCTACTGGGTGATACTGGTGCTGCTGTCTCCTTTTCTGGAGATTTTGTATCGGCGAGGATGCTCTCAATAGAAAACCGCTTGGATGGCGAAAACCGCTGCTCCGTCATTTTAACTACCGTATATTATATACTTTAGTATTGCAAATAGAAATAACGACGTATTTCGGTATACAGGCCAGAAAAGATCGGAGAGTTAGAAGTTCAATTAAAGGTGCAGCAATTGAAATAAAAATATAAAGGTCGTAGCCCCTTATATCGCTATTCAAACGTTAAGGTTGTATATCGTAAGCAGAGCGAATAATATAAGTCAACCATCCGAAACCAGCGATTTTGTTTAAGTGTTTTAACTTTTGGTAAAATGTCCCATATGAGTGGTCTGTCTGGTAGCCCAACCGTGACCAGTGTAAACAGAGTGTGATAGCTTATGGCGCCGCTTAGCGTCCAAGACACTAATGCCTCAATCAAAGGAGAACCACTGTTAAATGGTAGTTCGTTTTTCTATGACTGCTCTTGTTTAGTAACACAAAAGATAATGGGATTATGAATAAACTCCTACTAAGTCGTCCCTCCTCTCTTGTTCAGAAAATCAGAAACATTTTCGAACCAATCGTCGGGATGTGATGAACTACAGCAATTAGTTGTCAGTCAGTTCATTGATTGGCGCGTCGCCGTTGAATGCAGCTCTCCAATTGGTTAGTGTATCTACTTGTTTAAATCATTAGCATACCTAGTAAAGGTCTGTTCATTTTATGGCCATCAATATCTTCTATCGCTATGTTTATTTCGTTTCTATTGTCACAATATCCTTAACAATTTATAGGACTGAAATCTGCATTTGTTTTGGTTTCTCCAATAACAAATATATCATTTGGGTGGATGCTCACATGAATTATATATATAAATGTATGTAAGTAAATATATATATATATATTATATATATATACAAATATATATGTATTGAAAAAGTTTGTTAATGAAATATATTAAGTAATAGAATATTGACATACCTTTATATTATATTAAAATATTTATATGTTTATAAATTGTATCTCTTACACAGTTTATC